ATTCAAATCTGATCAATGATTTAGTCTTATTAGAAGACATCCAGAATACCATCAAAGCTGTCAGATCTATGGCCGCCTCTCAGACACCATTGGGTTCTACTCTGAGACTCACGAGTACTGAGGAGAGAGCGGGTTTTGAGGCGGACATTGCCATCACTGAAATCATTCACAGCTATAAAGTGTACGACACGAGCATTAGAGCCAATTTGGACGCAAACACAACGGTGGAGGCGAAGATCAATTTCGGTGAAGAAGTCAAACAAAACTTCAGTTCATTTTGGAATTGCGGACAAACAGTGAGCTGTCAGAGTGTCATCTTCTCTGTCACTATATATCCCAATGAGAATCCATTTCCATCCAAAGAGGAATCCTACAAACTGTCGTCAGTGATAGAGCTGTCGATTCACGCGCCCAATACGGGTGAGGAGCAGATCGTGAGGGGTCTGTTCAAAGCGGCCGCTTTTCAGACCACTATCACCGGCAATGCCAGCGAAGGCGGATCTGATTACATCACAAAATGCTATTATTTCGACCGACATTTGAGAAGCTGAGGAGTAGACGACGTACACCCACTGGGCATCGCCTATAAGCGAGTGGGCTGTTGGTCGGGACACCTCTCAACGTTCGTTGTATTGCGAACTGTGGCCGGAATTAGTGCTGATTATGTGATAGGAGTGCTGGTGGCCTGCCTTATGGGAGTCCTTGTGTTTGGAATTATGGTTGTATTCTTCGTGCAGAAGAAAAGAGAGGACACCAACAGAATATCTCCCAAACCTATCGCGAGTCCACCGAAAAAGCCTTTAGAAAACCCGCGATACAGACATTCAATGCAAAATGGGATTGAAATTCAAACGGCATCGCAATCAGTGCTGATTACAGACTAAATGCAATCAATTCATTCAATAATAAACATATTAGTTATATATTTTTAACTAAATTATAATCTATTTTAAATAATTTATTCAAATAAAAGTCACCTAACTGATTATGGACAATTAATTTACATATATTTATACTGTCAACAAAATCAGAAATAATTATTAAATTTCTATATTTAATGAGTTATTGAAATGAACATAGATTTAGTCCGTAAATGAAAAATACATTATTTTATTTATATTGTTTTATTTTTGTGGTTAATATAAAAATAATTAGTTTTTAACAATAAACTATAACATATTTTATGACAAATAAAATGATAAGAAAATTATGTTTACCATTAATTAATAAAATATTTATAATAAATATCACTTTCAATTATTCTTTGCTTCTTTAGGAAGTACACAGAAGTAATCATTACATTAATATACAAAACTAAAGTGCATTTATACTGTATTTCGCTTACAATCATAGGTTGGAAATACTTTGAGTGATAACTATGTTTATAAACTATTAAATTATTTTTAAACTGACGAATAAAAAGAATATAACTTGAGTCTATTTTAATAAAAATACGATAAATTCAGTAATATTATAAATAAAGATTGAACTAAATGAACTTAGTATTAATAAACAATATTTTAAACATTAAATTGTTTTAATATTTATATACCAAACATGGTAACTGTATATTATAACTAAATTGATTTACTAATAAATTAACTGTCACTATCTATTAATACTATATGATTTACTGTATTAGAATTGTTATAAAAATATTCACCCGGAAACATTAATATTCTATTCAATTATTTACATAAATGTATTCTATTGTATCACAAATGGTAAGCAGTAATTAGTGAATAACTTTCAACGAAATTCATTTACTAAACCTTATTATCGGTTTTAATATCATGATTGACTTGAGACAAAGCGAGCGCCTCCTCATAAGTTGGCGGTTCATCGGAATAGGGAGGGGGTTGGGGCTCAGTGGACTCACTGGAACTGTTAACTACTTCATAAGGCGGCAGAGAGGACTGGGAGGTAGTGAGAGGCAGATTAACAAAGGTCTCTTCTGGTAAGAATTGAGAGTCCGGTGAATCGAGATTTAGCCGCAACTGAATAACGCGTCCACTTCTGGACACCGAGTTTCGGCTGTTTCGACGTCTTTGGACTCGATTAGCATAAGATAAGTCAGAGATCATCCCGGTCTGGAAGTTGCATATGTGTTCCGGTAATATATTTCGCCAAAACCTTATTATAGCGATCGTAACGCAACAAAAGATGACAATAACTATTGTCTCCAATAACTTGTCGGTTGAGAAGAATCGGTAATCGTTTTGCCGAAAGCCTGCGTATAAGTGGAAAACCTCGCACTCGCCGCTTGTCTCATCCCATTTGAGTCCATACGCGCACTTCTTCTCGTCTCTGTCGGTTGGTTTGCATCTCTGAGTATTCATATCGAAGTTGTAACCACTTTTGCAGATGCATT